AAGAAAAACAAGTGCAAATCAGAACAACAACAATAAAAGAAGAGATTGGGCTGCAAATCAAGTTGTATTATTAGGTTTAAACGTTTACGGGAAATGGTCCGAGAGATCACGAACAAAGGCAGAAATGTTTTCACATGATTGCATTTTTTGGGGAAGCGAGTCCCAGAGACAATGGCTAATGAAAACAGGCGAGCGACTCATTGAGTTATTTCTTGAAATAGGGAATCTTAGTTTATTACGACTTGACGAAGAGGAGTTAAATCGAAACTGATCACAAGGTTGACGCAATGGACAGAAATCAAACGCCGTAAAGGCAAGTTTACCGAAGAGGTAAATAGATATGGCATGTCACGACAGCCCTGATTGCAAACTCTAATTCCAATACCGTTAAGACCAGATACTTCTAACATCAGTGGTCTTACAGTAAGGAGATCTGGTGCATTTCCTTCGTTCACAACAAGTCCGTTTAGGCTCTTTATTAGCTATGTCACGGGCATGGGCTACCAGGTCATTCACAATCAGCTACATCAGGACTATCCATACATAAAAGATGCAGCTTCGGAATTTTTTATTTTCATTGCTATCAGTTTCGGCCTCATTTTCTCTGTGCTGCACTGAGGAGTTCACAAAGAACGAAACAGCATGCTGTCCGCAGATTGAGTAAAGGATACAGCTTATGCACAGATATACAGCATTCCCTCACTAGTGGGACCATTGTTATTAGGCTAGGGCCTGTTTTGGACTTCCCACTCTAAATAAAGAATACAAACAAACAAACAAACAAACAAACAAGCAAGCAAGCAAGCAAGCAAACAAACAAACAAACAAACAAACAAACAAACAAACAAACAAACAAGCTATATTCGTATCATCAAGTTCTTACCTTTAGCGGGAATGTCGACATAGAATAGAACCGAGTCCTCCATTCCGTCCGGACTGTCCTTCTTTGTGAAGTGGCACACGGCGCGGCCCTGAAGTCGACCACTGGCTGGCCTTCTCACGACAAAGTTGCTGGTCACCTCCAGGGGTTCGTTGCGCACCATGGTGCTCACGGAATCGGTGATCCTTACATCTGCCGAGCTGGGCTTCAGCAGGACGTGGAAGTTGTACTGCACCGGGTCCAAGACGGGGTAACGACCGTACGGCGCTCCCGTCCACAGGAAGCCACTGTTAGGCTTGAAGCACTTCTCGCTCTCCTCGTGCTCCCTGTAGGCTATAGGTACCGTGCGTAGCTTCAGGCAGACCTGAAAGTTCTCCTCAAACTCAAGGTACTCCGCCGTGAACACCAGCACCTGCTTGCGGTCAAAGTCGTTCAGTAGAATGGTGAGATCCTCAGACGTCAGCTGCTTCAGCCTCTCTCGAACGGAACCCTCACCGGCAGTGTTCGACTTTTCGCAGAACCCGCATCCTGAAACAGAGTCCAAAAGGAGAATGAAGCCAAATCAAGTAGACTCAAAATTGTGCTTATCTCTCGCTCTCTCTCTCTCTCTCTCTCTCTCTCTCTCTCTCTCTCTCTCTCTCTCTCTCTCTCTCTCTCTCTCTCTCTCTCTCTCTCTCTCCCTCTCCCTTCCTCCCTCCCTCCCTCTCCCTCTCCCTCCCTCTCTCTCCCAATTGAGCAGTGGAACGGCACAGGTAGTGAGTCATTTCAGGGGACAGTCAGTACATGGGTGGTCTGTCAGTATACTTTTAGGTGGTCTGTCAATACAGGTGGTCTGTCAAGACAGGTGGTCTGTCAAGACAGGTGGCCTGCCAGTACTATTCAATGGGTGGTTCGTGTGTATAGTCACAGCAGTACAAACAGAACAAATACTACACCCCTCATTTTTATTGCCCTTTAAATTCTTCCTTGCAATCTTAGAAAGCGGAAAGGCAAAGGAAAGTGGAATAGACATTGAATGAATGAACGGGGATAGAAATTTGTTCAGAGCTATATGGAGTATAAGAGTTGCAGATATCGCCACAAACACCAAAATGTGAATTTTTGGCCCTCAATTTTGCCAGGACTGGGCTTTCACAGCAAGCTGGACGACTATTTAGAACCAAATGTTTCGCATCTCATTGCTTAAGTTACCAGACGTTCTGTATTCAGCACAAACTACAGCGACTGTCTTCACGTTCAGTTGCTAACCGGAAAATAAACAGTACACATGCTTCCCCCTGGAATTTCTTTTCGTGAATCCTTTGCACACCTACAACACCAAAATGGGAATGGATCTCTCTCGATGTTAGTCCCAAATCACATTCTACCTGACCAGGAGCCTGGTGGCAACTTACTGAACTCGCTGAAATGCAGGGTAGAGAATTTCAGGAAGGCTTCCTCCACGTTCAACTCTACGTCACACGATATGTCATCATACAGATCCAGGCATGTTGACCTGAACAATGCTATTGACTGCAGGACAAATGCAGGCATTTAAAGGAACACAGAGAGCAGTCAATTCTGAGAATCAGTGAAGATCAATGCACTTTACTGCGCTTGGCAGTAGGAAAACGGTAATGTGTAGTAGCACTGGAGGCGTGAGTTGCGAAGTCTGCACGAGGGAAATGTTGATCAGTCGGTGCTGGGATGACGACTATACCATAGACTACACGAAGGCACACAATGAAAACCTTGGGCAAATTCCGTTGTGACTCAGAGGCCCACGGCTGAACCAATCGTTGTCTGGTGATTGGTTCAGCCATGAGACTCTGAGTCACAACGGAATTTGCCCAAGGTTTTCATTGTGTGCATTTGTGCACGACGCTCTGCCTGAATCAGGTGTTGAGCACTTTCGCAGAACCTAAGCCTATACTGCCTCTGTGTATACCATAGACTACAAACTGAACGGAGTTTTCTAGTGATAGAACACAACTGGCTGAGAGCTACAGGTCCTTGGTTTGAATCCTGGTAGCCGAACCCATTTTGTCTCCAGAAATTTCTCCCCAAACTTATGAATACAATGCAGCAGAGTATATTAAATTTTTATACTTTTACATATTTACAGTACCAGACTTGTAGCTAGTGCAGGGGGGGGGGGGGGGCAGAAGTGATCACAGACTGTTCCTAAATTGTGACATCAAATGTTTGCAGATATACATTGTACAGAGTTCAAAACAATCAATACACTCGCGTACAGAACAGGAAATGCTCTATTTTGAGACACTAGATACATGTCGCCAAGGTTTTCATCCGGGTGGGAAAGCACTGACCTCTTGGTTGCCATTCATCCTGGAATCGTTCACTTTGATGGAGACTGGCCTGTCGAATTCCTGGGACGGGCCGAGCTCAATAGTCTACAATATTCAGAAACAAACCAACAGAGCCCGAAACAACTGAAAATGACATTGGTAAAAGTGGGTTCAAAAATATTTCAGTTTGAAATGAACAGCCGCTGTGTGTGGGACGAAGGAAGAAGAAGAGAGAGAGAGAGGCAGACAGACAGACAGACAGACAGACAGACAGACAGACAGACAGACAGACTGAGGGACGGAAGGACGGACGGACGGGCGGGCGGAGTACGCAAGCAAGCAAGTGTGAGAGAGAGAGAGAGAGAGAGAGAGAGAGAGAGAGAGAGAGAGAGAGAGAGAGAGAGAGAGAGAGAGAGAGAGAGAGAGAGAGAGAGAGAGGGAGAGAGAGAGAGATAGAGATAGATAGACAGAGAGAGAGAGAGAGAAAGAGAGAGAGATGAGCAATGCTGGAAACAACAGTAAGTGCTGACAGTTGTAATCGGGTCACAGGGTCGTTGGAAGGCATTTTTAGGGTTGTACGGTCAGCCACCTGAAGTATAATTTACTTGTGGAGTTGGGAGGGGGGCGGAAAATGTTTCGAAATTTAGAGTCTAAATCAGTGCACTTTATTGATTCACGGGGTACCTGGGTTAAAGGGTGACACGGTCAAGACCGTAGTGACCGTAGCGTGTCCGACGCCCATACACCAACAACACGGCATTGTTCAATACGTATACAACAGGTTGGCAACTCACCGGTCCCATGATGACTTCCTGTCCCTGGAAGGAGAGGTTGCGGCCGTAGAATGTTAGCCGTGGCCACTTCACCCATCGCGGCTCGCTCACACAGTCCTGCGGAAATTCCAGCAGAACAGGCCCGTGCCGGAGCTGGCCGCCCTCTGACCCGATGTAGATACCATTGGTGAGCAGGTCACGGACATAGTGAGGCAGAGATCGCTTGCCGCCGGTGATACCGCTTTGGTGACCTTTCAGTTCTGTTTAGGAGAGGGAGCACGGGAAGGAAGGATCAAGATTGGGAACACAGCTCTATCATTCCAACGGAACACTTATCAGCCGCACCCCATGATCAGGAGAAAAGCGCACTTAGGCAGTGTCCATTCGTAGCTAAAAGAGAACCACGGTTCACGTCAGACTCGGGTAGAGGCCGAGTTTTCCGCATCCGTAGGAACGCCACCACTCTTCAAGGATCAATGTGCGGATGCTAGCTAGAGGGTGACTTTTCAGAGTACATGCTGTAAAATATGTAATTTTCGGTGTAACTTTAATTTCGGTGATTTCGGTAGAGAAACCAGGCACCTAAATTTAAATTACACCTAAAAGGCACTAGAGTACGCACTGTATGTGAAGGAAACGCTGGTCACCTAATTCTAAATTACACCTCAAACCTGGCAGGTCCCTGGCACCGAAATTTTAATGCACCTAAAATTACATGTTTTACAGTACTGGGGGATCTTCACTGTAGGGCGAGGCACATACTCAGCGCAGTATCAAGAACATAAAAGCTACCTTATTGTACCCTGGATCGGTTTCCTGCTAGATTTACCCCATCACGCTTAGAGAAAGGAATACGCCATGTGCATGATATTACGGGGTTGAACACGAAAACAGAGCTTGCCGAAATAACACAAGTAATTGCTTGGTAACTAAGTTATGGCAAGCTGTGAAGTTTCATGTGGAAATGTAGGCATATAGGGGATTAACTAGTGCATCCACACGTCAAACAATCGCTCCGTGCTCATATCAAGGCACTCAAAAATGAGCTGCCAGTATTCAGGCCTGGAATCATCACCAGGATCGTTTTCATGGAAAAGAGACCAGTTTGCCTAACTGCTAAATGAATCAAGGGCTGAAGGGACCGCAGTGGAGATCTAATACCCTGATAAAAGCTCAATAAGATTTTCACTGCATAGCAATACCCCGGTAGACAGAATTCAACACACCTGAGTTGATGACATTCATATCTTCATCTGGCACGCCAGCATCGGCGACATTGAGCTTCCTAATGCGATGGGCCAGTGATAGCCATGTCAGCCTGGTGTTATCGCGCACAACGGAGAAGTCATTCAGGCCAATATCCAGCTCTTGGACTCGTGGCCACAGGACCGAAATATTGCTGAGGCAAGGCAGAGCGTTCGACGACAACTTGCAGTTTCTGAGCATGACTGTCTCAAGCAGTGTGCATTTGCTGAAGGCCGGAAGCAGGCAGCGTAGTCCCTCATCGCCAAACTGGTTGTCCGATAAGTCCACGTAGGTCAGGGTGGATGACGATTTGAGCAGAACATCGGATAGCGCACAGACCGAGGCACTGCTGGTGATACGATTCCCATTCAGGGTCACCCTGGTGACGTTCGTATTATTCAGACAGTCAGGAACGACGGCCTGGAACTGCTCATTTGTCAACTGTTGGCTGGAGAGGTCGATGGTCTGCGAGAAATATTGGAACGCTGGGCCGGTATCCAGTGGTTCCTCGTTCTGGCTGTCAAAGGACGGGTGAGATATGGAGCGAGAAAAGGCAGTGTCCAAGTTTTCCCTTTCCTTGAGTTGGCCAGCTAGAATGGCTTCAAAGTCGGAGCTTGTCGATGACGGTGATATTCCAGAAATACCAGAGTCAAACGACGTGGCCGCCACGAGCGTCGTCATACCTCTGAAGCCCAGTTCGATTGACGATAGACTCGGGCGGGATGTGATTGATTTCGTAGAGTTCCCGCTCATGAAGCCCGAATCCTCTGAGGCTGGCGACGGCGCTTTGGGACGGCTCTCCCTGAGAAGCGGAGACGTGATCAGTGTTCGACTTGTGTATGGTCCCACCTTCTTGGAATGGCCGGGTTGAGTGTCTGCAAAAAAAACCCAGATAACAGCCAGACCACAAGTACATCTTGATAAGCTAACATCATACCTAACATAGACAGAACGATAAATGCTGCGCAAGAGCAGGGCTATCGAAAAGCATGATCCCCAATAAATTCACGTCAGGTCAAGAGATTGGTTTGAAAGAGACACGCACTTGAAGTACACATTTTGGAGCGAAATGATAAAAGTAAAATGAATGGCAGCTGCGATTGAAGTGAAGGAAATAGAGAACCTTCCATCAGATCCTATAAAGTGTCAGTCATTGCATTTGAATGAGTTAGAGACCATGTGCATTGCAACAATGCAGTGTCTGTACCATGCAGGGGCGTCACAGAGCAGCGGGGAGTCAAGGAACGACCGGGGACCCAGGAAATATATCTGATCTTTCAGGCAACAGGACCCGTTTTAGCGGTTTTATATTGATTTTTTTACATGACTCCGTGTGGAACATCCTGCACGAAAAGTGGTACGACCATGGTCATAGTGGTCGTACCATGTGTGATGCCCCTGTTGTAATGATAGCTTCAAGCAGGTTCTAAAGTCACTCAAGTCAGTCAAGGCTGGCACAAGGCAGCATCCTAGTTGTCACAACCGTATCAGGACTCCATCATTTAGCTGAAAATCTGCACCTAAGCAGGCAGAATGCACAATGGACCACTTTAGCCACCAAAGATTCCAGAGTGAGAGCCGCACCAAAGCATGTAAGCCTTCCCTCCCCCCCCCCCCCCGTCATGGTTTGGGAATACTGATACCATTGGGGGTATTATTTGGCGCATTTTTTTCATGTAAAAAGGTTCGACTCTGGCCATGGATAATATGTTTAACTCACTACAGTTCCTCATTCCACTTGCCTTGTAACTGAAAGGACCCACTTACCATCAATGCTGACAAGTGAAGACAGCCCACTATCACCCAAGTGCTGGAACAGTGCGACTTCCAAGTCACATTCTCCCTGCAGCTGGCACCGGTTCTTCCAGGCGATCATCACCTTGTGCATCTTGCTGGCGTAGAAGGCGCCCTTCTCCTTCTCCTTCTCCGGAACTTCATTGCCGATGAGATCCTCGACCAGCCTGCCTGACAGGCCTAGGCGGTATGCAAAGCTTTTCAGGTGGAAGATGGATGGAAACAGGTTGGTTTGCTTGCTGGTGCTGGCGGACACATCGTTAATGAGGATGTTGAGAGGCCGTAGGAGTTCGCGCTGACTCGCTGAACAAGAAGCATGAATTGAGGGCATAAAAAGTCTTCTTCGAAGAACTGTGAACGGTACCATTTGGCTGTTTATTAAGATACAAAAAAACATGGAGGAGGAGAGTTTGTTGTATCCTTCAAAGAATATCAATGAAGTTGTGAACAGTACCACTCGGCTGTTTAATAGTGCAACAATCTCTCCTCCTCCATTCGCTCTCAGCCGAGAACTTGCCTACAACGGGTACTACCGTAACGCGTTCGTTGAATTGTAGGTGTGTGTGTGTGTGTGTCTGTGTGTGTGTGTGTGTGTGTGTGTATCTGTGTGTGTGTGTGTGTGTGTATCTGTGTGTGTGTGTGTGTGTGTCTTGCTCTTGAGCAGGACGGTTTGAATTTTTTGAGCTCTTCCGTATCTGGTCTTCTTTACCGTTTCATAGCTGGGCTTTGCCCAGCGGGGCAGCTCTGGGCCCTCCAGAGTTGTCCTTAGTTCTGCACTAGGCAGGTTCATGGGGGAGTGGGTTCACGGCACAGTCGCCAGGACAAATTATTTTTGATATTGTCACGGCTGTGTCGTCCACTCTCCGCCATTCGCAGTGGGTTGGCGACCCCTCGGATGTGTATCTCTTTAGCTACGACGCGACCCGAGTCATGTGTCGGGGGCAGAAGCGGAGAGACGAAGACGAAGAATATCCGCTTTGCGACGTGGAACGTCCGAACGCTTGTCAATGCTGACGGCTCTGTCGAGACTGCCGCTCGTCGGGGGCGCGTGAGCGAGGATAGAAAGATAAATTTAGTAGTCCGCGAGGCCGAGCGCTTGGGTCTGGAGGCAATTGGACTGCAGGAGACGAAATGGTTCGGCGCTGCGTCGTACTCTGTTGGTGATGCGTTGGTTATATCGTCGGGTCGACCTCTGCCGACTGAGAATTTCACTCGTGGAGAAGGAGTCGCCGTCTTGTTGAGGCGGCGTGCCAGAGCGGCGTTTGAGCGCGGAGGCTCGCAGCAGAGTGCTGTCTCGTCCAGACTTATGACATGTAAGTTGAAGTTTCCTCTGTGTACTGGCACCCAGCGGCAGTGCCCTGCTGAGAGAGCCTCTGTGTGGGTACATCTGGTTGTTTGTTATGCACCCACGTTCCGGGCCAGTCGATCGGTGAAGGACGCATTCTATGCAGATTTGCAGCAGACTGTCATGGCTGTTCCTCTCTCAGATCATTTGATCGTCCTTGGGGACTTCAATGCACGTGTGGGTTCTGCTGTTGAGCCTCAGTCTTCTGGTTTGTGGCGGGATGTCCATGGAGGCTTTGGCATTGGTGAGCGCAATGATGCTGGGATGGAGTTGTTGGATTTCTCGTTACGCAATAACCTGACCATCTGCAACACCCATTTCCGGAAGAGGATGATACATCTGGCTACGTGGCGGCACCCGAGATCCCAACGTTGGCATTGTATTGATTATGTACTTGTCCGTGTAAGTCAAATGCAGTATGTTGTGGACACCCATGTGATTCGCGGTGCAGAGTGCAGTACTGACCACAATCTCTTGTGTATGACGTATTGCCTGCCGGGGAGGATTGTGCCCGGCCGAAATCAGAATCAAAAGCGCAGGAACCGGCGGTTTGCGGTTCAGGAGCTGCTGACTGTGCCAGGTATGACTGACGAGAGGCGGGAGTTAGTCGAGTGCACCCGAGCGGAGTATGGCCACTGTTTGTCTGGTGGCTTGGAGAACTTTGATGCTGGCGGACTCATCGAGGAGCAGTGGTCCTGTATTAAGAAGGCTATAACGTCATCAGCTAAGGCTGCAATCGGGCATGAGAGACGTAGCAGTCCTGACTGGTTTGTCCAGAGTGCGGCCACATTGGAGCCCATTCTGAAGGCCCGGAATGATTTGTATCGGAAATGTCACTCTGGTTCCCGGGCGGATTTGGTTGCCTACAGGGAGGCCCGTGGTGAGGCCCGTGCGGCTGTTCGTTCCGCAAAGGAGAGTTGGCTCAGTAAACAAGCTGACATCGTGGAGGCTGAGCGGTTTAATACCAAGAGTGCCTGGGCTGCCATTCGGGCGATTCAGCGATGCTTTGGGGGCATCACACCCATGAAGGTGCAATCCATCCAGGACACCGATGGCATTGTGTGCACGTCGTTGGAGGCCATCTCGTCCAGGTGGTATGAACACTTTTCAAACGTCCTTAATATCAGGAGCCTCTATGACTTGGACGTTTTCGGTACGCTGGAGGTCAGGCCCATCGACGAGGAGCTCGCCATCCCTCCATCTCCTGAGGAAGTTGGTCGAGCTATACGTGCAATGGCTAATGGCAAGGCAGCTGGCGCATCGGGGATCCTGCCCGAACTTGTGAAGTATGGCTCCAGTGAGCTGCATGAATGTTTGCTGGCCTTGCTTTTGACTGTCTGGTCCACAGGTGGTGTTCCTCAGGAGTGGCGGAATGCCCAGCTGGTGCCAATCCCAAAGCGTGGAGATCTAGCGCTCTGTGACAATTGGCGTGGGATCTCTCTTTTGGAGGTGGTGGGCAAGATGGCTGGTCGCTTGATACAGAACCGCCTTCAATCCAGGGCCGAGCATCTCCTCCCGGAGTCTCAGTGCGGATTTCGACCCAACCGTGGCTGTGCTGATGCTGTGTTTACTGTCCGGCAACTGGTGGAGAAGGCATACGAGCATCGTACAAAAATATTTTGTATCTTCGTGGACTTGAGAAAGGCATATGATTCTGTGCCTAGGGCTGCACTGTATCGTGCTCTTTCTGTCCTTGGTATTCCTCCGACTCTCCTCAAGGTCATTGAGTCATTTCATGATGGCATGGTGGCGGAGGTGCGTGTGCCTGGAGGTGTCACGGATGAAATTCGTGTGGAGAACGGCCTGAGGCAGGGGTGTGTAATGGCCCCAATCCTCTTTAACCTCTATCTGGCTCTGGTGGTGGAACGTTGGCGGTCTGTTCTCGCTGATCGTGACCCAGACATTGGCATCCAATTTCACTATCGCTTGGATGGCCAGTTATTCAACCCAGCACGACGAACCCGTACCTATCAGCAGACCGCTGTTGTTGATGTTGAGTATGCGGACGATGCAAACTTTGTAGTTGGTTCGCGGGAGCATGCTGTGTTGGCCTTGACGGCGTTCCAGGATGTTTCTGCTGAATTTGGCCTCACTGTGAGTATACCCAAGACCAAGTTTATGGTGGCTGGTGTTGGTGTTACTTCAGTTGACACTGCTGGCATTCCGCTTCATGGACAGGTGGTGGAAAATGTTTCCTCCTTCGTTTATCTGGGTTCTGTCATCACTCCGGATGCGCGTTCTGCGGGAGACGTTTCTAGGCGTTTGTCACTCGCCTCGCGTGCCTTTGGATCGCTTCAGGATGTGTTTGCTAATCGTGATCTTTCACTCCATGTGAAGCGCCGATTGTATAACGCCTGTGTGATGACAGTGCTACTGTATGCTTCGGAGTGCTGGTGCCCTTTGCAGGGTGACCTCCGGCGCCTCGATAGTTTCCACCGCCAGTGCATCCGTAGCATCTTGTGTGTTTCGCGAACACAACAGTGGGAGGAACGCATCACCAATGAGCAGCTCCGAGAGATGTGGGGTGATACATCGCTATTGTCCTCCCGGCTTCGGAAGCGGAGGCTTGAATGGCTTGGCCATGTGGCCCGCATGTCGGATGTTCGTGTGCCCAAGCAGCTGTTGTTTGGCTTCCTACCGTCGCCTCGGCCTGCGTGTGGTCCTCGTCGTCGCTGGAGGGATGTGATTTCGGCTGATCTTCGGCACATCGGCATTGAACATCTAGCTTGGTATGGGATAGCTCAGGATCGATCTGCCTGGCGGGTGTCTGCCGTTGGGCCGAGCCTCGGCGGTCCTTCCCATGACCAATCTCAACGGGTGGACTGTCTTATCTGCCACCGTTCGTTTCGTCGGCCAGGTGACAAAGCAAGACACAAGTGTAGCGCAGAACGAAGTCTCCCCATCCAGGAACAGCGTGGTGCTGTGCAGTGTGGTACATGCAGGAGGTGGTTTCACTCTCGTGGTGGCTTGCGTGTACATCATTGTTTGCCCCTGGAACCATCGGAAGCGTCCGCGCCGGCATCACCTATTCCGCTCAACGTCCCAGCTTCTCTCTTGTGTGTGACATGCAATCGGCAGTTCAAGTCAGTGCCTGGTTTCAGACGTCACAAGTGCGACCGTGGCCATCGAGCAACCAAGTCTGATAGAGCGGCGTATGGTGTTCGCTGTTCTCGCTGCAGCCGTCAGTTCCGTCGACAGAGTGACCTGAGTCGTCATCTCCGTTTCTGCTCCTGACAATGACTCTGGCTCCTTTCGGAGTGGTGTGGCCCTTGTGGCAACCAAGCTACAGTAGTAGTAGTAGTAGTAGTAGTGTGTGTGTGTGTGTGTGTGTGTGTGTGTGTGTGTGTGTGTGTGTGTGTGTGCGTGTGTATGTGTGTTGGTGTGTGTGTGTGTGTGTGTGTGTGTGTCTGTCTGTGTGTGTGTGTCTGTGTGTGTGTGTGTGTGTGTGTGTGTGTGTGTGTGTGTGTGTGTGTGTGTAATGGCTACTAAGGGTAGTCGGCTGAGGGGGCATGGAGGAGAAGACTAGGACTGGAGAGATCGTTGCATTCTGCGAAAAATGTAAATAATTCCCGAGGCCATATAAGGGGAGAACAATGTAGGTAACTCTGAGTTGCAATAAAAATTCTGTTCCACCTTACTTGTACAGGGAGAACATTAAAAAGACCTTGGGTGCTGTCCATGAAAGGTGCTATAGGTGAAATGGAGAGCATCTATCGTCTTCTTCCCTTTCTTGTGCATGCATCGTGTGAATTAGTTGTCTACATTTCTTCGGACTTCAGAACCTCGATAGTGACTTGTTGCAGTCCCAGAAGAAAGAGACCTGTGTTGATAGATCAATGCACAATTTTGGTCAGGTTCAGCAAAAGATTCCAAGTCGCATTTTTAACCTCTAAAGCGAAGGAGCAACTTCAGTGCAGGTTTGATATGGTCACATACCTTGAACCTTCATGCGCTTCTGTTCTTCATCTGCCACCGTTTGTTTTGGCAAATCCGTTGCCTAAAACAGAACAAAATAGAGCATGTGGACGTATACTTTCTAGAGCACAAGCTGGCATCCAAATGAGCGTATCTAAGTATGAGGGCTAAGGGCACATCAATTCCAATTTCACCGCAGATCAATCCTTACCAGCCAAATTCAAACTCTCGCCGAATCCCTCCTCCATGCACTCAGAACCTATTGTGGCTAAATGTTGGTGCAATAAGCTTACATTAGTGGGCAGGCATAGTGGGATGATCTAAAACCATGAATGAGAACCAGAGGGTACCAGATCTAAATCCTCCTGGGAAGCGGAAGGAGTTTCCAGCCGTGCTGCGACCCACAATTACTGTAAATATACAAATTTTCGGCAGCTATTTAATTTCGGCTATATTCGGCACCGACCCAAAACGCCTAAATTAAAACGCCGATGAAATTTTTCACAGCATCTGTCGCACATGCTCTCTACCCCACGCCGAAAATAAATCGCCGCCGAAATGTCAAAAATCGTGAAGTGCCGAAATTTTGCAGCGCCGAAATTTTGTATATTTACAGTAATCGGGAACTCATGGCCTGGCACGAGGGAAACATGGATGCAGCGAATGGGATTTCGGTCTTTGACGACTTTCTTGGTGGGCTGATCTACTCACCTCCCACCGCTTTAGGAGGGGCACCTGCGCCTTAGATCTTTGCAGGGTGGTGGTGTTCTTACAGGATGCTGAAAACTCAGTCTAACTGAGTCTCAAGCGAACCGTGAAGTTTGTCACAGCTTACATTCTTAGCGTATAAGCACCTCATTCCCGCTCGCTCCTCACTCTTCCCTCCATTTGGCAAATGCTGGTTTTTATACATTGTGCAATTACTCAGCAATTACTCAGCGTTATTTGCAATACCTAATAATAATAATAAAATCTGAAGTCTGAAGAAAATGTTGAACAGTCTCTGCTGGGATGACGACTACACCATAGCTCAGTGGTTAGAGCATCGCTAGCTACAAGCGAGGGTCCCTGGTTCGAGTCCTGGTGGTGACAGTCAATTTTTTCTTCAGACTTTTCCCGTTTGTCTCTTTCCCTCAAACTAGTGAACATTTTATGACTTGGGGCTCACCGCGTGCTAGAGTGTACGTGAAGTGTGTGGGTACAGTGAGGGCTGCGTCCCACCCGCCTGTGTGGATTCACAGGAAGTGTGAGCTACGAAGTCTGAAGAAAATGTTGAACAGTCTCTGCTGGGATGACGACTACACCATAGCTCAGTGGTTAGAGCATCGCTAGCTACAAGCGAGGGTCCCTGGTTCGAGTCCTGGTGGTGACAGTCAATTGTTTCTTCAGACTTTTCCCGTTTGTCTCTTTCCCTCAAACTAGTGAACATTTTATGACTTGGGGCTCACCGCGTGCTAGAGTGTACGTGAAGTGTGTGGGTACAGTGAGGGCTGCGTCCCACCCGCCTGTGTGGATTCACAGGAAGTGTGAGCTACGAAGTCAGAAGAAAATGTTGAACAGTCTCTGCTGGGATGACGACTACACCATAGCTCAGTGGTTAGAGCATCGCTAGCTACAAGCGAGGGTCCCTGGTTCGAGTCCTGGTGGTGACAGTCAATTTTTTCTTCAGACTTTTCCCGTTTGTCTCTTTCCCTCAAACTAGTGAAAATAATAATAATAATAATAATAATTTAATAACGAAGGTACGTGTTAGGTCGTAAGTATCCACGCAAACACACATCCAGTCAAAATAAGGCACTTGTCAAAGTATCCGAACGTTTTCGGTCCCTTCTCATCAAGGATTATACAGGGAATGGCTCAAGTTGGAAAGACTAAAACTTATATAGCGTAAAGATATGAGATAACAACACTCGTGACAAGGTGAAAAAAGTATCAAGTTCAGCACGACACAAAACTCGAAGGACATAATAATAGCGACAAGAACATAGTGAGCAAATTAAGTTACATTGTTAACACCTCGACGAGGAGTAACACCAAACAATTGTAGCGACAACACATTTTCTTTTTGTACGCAAAGTTCAGGATCAGGAATGTGTTGTCGCTACAATTGTTTGGTGTTACTCCTCGTCGAGGTGTTAACAATGTAACTTAATTTGCTCACTATGTTCTTGTCGCTATTATTATGTCCTTCGAGTTTTGTGTCGTGCTGAACTTGATACTTTTTTCACCTTGTCACGAGTGTTGTTATCTCATATCTTTACGCTATATAAGTTTTAGTCTTTCCAACTTGAGCCATTCCCTGTATAATCCTTGATGAGAAGGGACCGAAAACGTTCGGATACTTTGACAAGTGCCTTATTTTGACTGGATGTGTGTTTGCGTGGATACTTACGACCTAACACGTACCTTCGTTATTAAAGTATTATTCGCCTCCGACTTCTTGTAAAATAATAATAATAATAATAATAATTACATTCTCAGGGAAGACGGACATCTTGATAACTGGGATAGAGTGGTGATCCTCCTGCTTTGGCAGACGGTTTTTTCTCACCAGCTTGGGAGAAGACGGAGCAGAGCGTATTCCAGGAACTCTTTGCACTGAGTTGGGCAAGGGTGACTTCTTCGGACTTACTAGACAATGCGGAAAACAGACCAAAGGCAAATGACAAAATTTGAACGAATACGCTCCTACATGAAATGCACTTTATTCATTGTATTTATATATTTATTCCACATCCCATAGCATGTAATTGCCAATCAAAGGGTAGGGGTGAAAGCCGACCATGGCAGAGGAACGTAGAGAAATATAAATAGAAAGAAAAGAGGGAGAAGGAAGAAGAAAAAGAGAAGGCAACTAAGAGGGGCCCTATTTCTTTTCTTTTTCTTTACTAACAGCCATGTGGTGCACGCAATGGGAACATGCAGCAGCCATGGTGGTGGGGGCAAGGCGCTCCGTCGCGACTGCACTTCATCACATGACAGTTAGCATTCAATTCTACCTACTGAAATATTCTTCATAGATATGCGTACTGCAATGGCATAACACCTTGCTTTAGGGTTAACCTAACCTGGGCTGGAGAATGGGAACTCTGTTGGCTCTGCTACCGGGTGACTCGATCCTTGTAGATATGCTCCTTGACTTTGACCAACACCCGACGCACAACTCGATATCTGAATGAATAATGACAGGAATAAAGCAGCAAAAGCGGACACGTCCATCCAACAACTCTTTGTGGCATGGTTGGCCACAGAGCCTGCTACATTAGTAGTATGTGTCGAGCCGGTTCTACGTTCTACGGTTGGCACATGCCTTGCCCACAAAATGGGGTATTATTGATAGTGCCCCATTTTAGGGTAAAACATCCGGGGCCCGTTTTTTCAGTCACCACTGCCATTTTATGGAAACGATCTTACCTAGTTCCTGCAGTCCCTGACCTAAGATGCGTACAAGCGCAGGTATAATGTTCAGTGTACCGGTACGTTACACTCATGATTCACTGCACCTACCTATTCGGAGCGACGTGTACAATGCCGTATGCCAGAGTACAAGAGACCGTAATGCATGACCTTGAAGCATTCATATCAGGCTTATGATTATAACTAAAGTCTTCAAAAATCTCCAAAGCCAAAATTATGCAAAATAAAAACCTGTGCAGCAAAAACACAGCATCCCATCATTCAAAACTCAACATGGTGGCCAATGCATACCAGTCACAATATGCTATTACAGTCAACTTCACTAATAACGGCTGCGGATATAACGACAATTCGCGAATAACGACAGAATTTTCATGCCCAGAGCAAAGTCCCATCCAACTGTAACACATAAAATGAGACTTCGGGTATAACGACACTTCGCGAATAAGGACACTTTTCTGATGCCCCGCCGAGTGTCGTTATTAGCGAAGTTGACTGTATTATAGTTTTAAAAAAACAAATCCATACTGCCTTCTCTCATCATGACCATCAGCTTGCACTCTGTGTCTACATGTAGTTAATGGAACAGTCCCGGAGAAACCGATCGGGTTAGTCAGGCCCTGGGCGAGCCAACTCTTTGGCCACCAACGTCTGTGTACACGCCAGATCATACACATACGGTATGATGGACTAGGGCATGGCTGGACCAATCATAAACTGCTTCTGCCAATCGTGTTGTATTAATGGTAATGTCCTATTGGGCAGCCTAGGACATCAGTTTCTGCACATCACACAGCCTTCAAAGCATTCTGTTTACAGTCACGCAGAGATGATGAGAGACCTATTTGGAGTTGTGAAATCATTCATCGGATTAACTACACACATATTTCCAGTGATATTGTCACCCATTTTCAGAACACATGCAACGCATCAAGTTCTATGTGCGTACCTCTTTTCTGCGCGGAATGACCCTGTCATAATGTTCCGATAAGGAACGCACGTGCAGCACCGTATTGGCTTGCGAATAGACGCCCTCCTGACTTTGCAGGCCATTGTTCGGAGTTGGCGGCGGCGGCTGCACAAACTGAGAAGAACCGGGAACCGTGTTGGCTCGCTTCACTGCCTCTGCTCGCCACCTTCGCGGCACGGGTGGCCGAGGGATGCAAGGGGCCTGCGAATTGGAGCTGGTGCTGTCAAACAATCTAGCTGTTTCCCGTACATTGATGCCAGCTGAGAACACAACAGAGCGAATAAGATTAGACGGACTTGTACTAAACATTATTTTAGCCAAGAACCTGTGTTGGGTAGGGGTGAATGCATTTTTGAGCAGGATGAAGGGATCATTTACCTAGAAGCCCTATGGAATAGTACTCGTAGTACAAGATTTTTTTTAAACAGATCTCAATACCCACACTTCAACTGTACTATATATAGGGGAAAGTCCCAATCCTCCCCCCTCCCCCAAAAAAGTTTTTCTTTTATAGCTTGACAGGCTAAGTCTTGCAAGACTAGCCACTTCTGCGTTATGCTATACAAGACATTGGATAGATATGTAGTGCCTCGACTACAAACTACCGACTTCTATGGCCCCGGTGGTACATTGTACTGACGTTTCACTGTGGTGAAAAGAAACAGCCATTTAGAGCAGAAGTACGTCGCCAGGGTTTCACGCATACCGGAGCATCACCTGTTTGGAGGCCGAAGATTACCATAACACACATCACAACACAGCTGTTTCCCAGATGGAGCCTGCGCAGCATGCATGTATGTCCGGTCGAGCCAAAATTGTCGGGTGTAACATGCTTCTGCGTGCCGGAGACGGCACACCCCAAGAAGGAAGCACGGATGTACCTTCGTCTAGGTTTTCCGGCATGTGACAATCAGCATAGCTGCTCCTACACCGCACACTGTGCTACATGAGTGGAATTTAATCATGATTTTGTCACGAGTTCTCTGGAACAATCGGCATTTTGTCTAAGGACACAGGCAATCCTGCACCATGACAGTATTACAGAGTCACTTTGAATAGAGGATTTCCACTAGTAGTAGTACTATGAATATCATGGGAGTAGAAGGAATCAGCTTGGCCAACAGGGGTTTATGCTAGGAACACAATCATTCTTCTTTTGATCCAGGCCAGCATTTTACTATTAAAGGCTTGTGTGTTAATGTCGATAATGATGCCAAATGAATTGGGGGGGGGGGGGAGGAGAGGGAGGGAGGGGGGGGGGGGGGTTCTTCATTATTCTTCATGTTCTTCACGGTACACTAACAGTACTAGTTTGCCCATGTGATTCAACGCAGTCATACTGTCCGCATTGGACATGCAGAGGCTGCAGCGCTCATTAGCAAATCCTTTGACCTACTACAAGTACGTCATTGTACACTATCTGCGGATGCGTGGGAAAGTGTCCTGTCAACTCCGGTACACGTGAAAACAGGAAGGCGCAGGCTATTTTGAGAGTAACCACATGCAGGAACCAGCTCAGTCTCCCTGCAGGAGGTAAGGGACCCTGCACTGGCTGCAGTCATGTTGTAACTAACTAGTTGTAGGGCAGCTTGCCAGCCTGGTCCGCGCACTAGAATGTACATGTACTGGTAATCAGTACTCCTCTAGCTCTGGAATGAGAGACTTGAGCCTTGGGCTTGGGCTTGGAGTTGAACTAACTACTTAGCTACATGTGCAGGATGACACAGCATGGTGTTACAAAGGTACTACTAGTAATCAGAACAAAGCACTTGAGTAAAGGATGCCCCTGATCTGAGAGCAACACAGGAATTTATCATTAATTTTTGACTGTGAAATAATTATTTCCATGATTCGCTGCTCGGATTTCATCACCAATTGCAGATCTACATGTACATGTATGTGTATCATGCTTTGCTGAACGTTTACTTGTACTTGTAGACGAGATGCAGTGGAACTCACATAAATGTAGCATGTGCTCTGGTAAGACAGGCTACTAGTCAGGATATTGTTCGGAGCGCATGTGCATTGATCCATACGTGTACACTGTATCAGGGGCGTAGGAAGGGCTTTGGAAGTGGTACGGCCAAAGGAGGGAGGGACGTGTGAAGGTGAGTCGGGGGGGGGGGGGGGGGGGGGGGGAGAGGGGTCATCCCCAGTGAATTCTTTTTTTAACACAAAATCCGGCTGTGTTCTGGGTACCTTTGGCACATTTGTTACAAATTTTTAGTCATAGAATTTTATGGGTCACGTGGAGAAAACTAGTTGCCACGATCCAAGTGCTCCTAACAGCCGTGTCAAGTAGAGTATGAGTCAAACTCAAGCAAAAGTTTAAAAAAGATCTGATTGCTCCCGATTTTTTTATTACGGTTTTGCACATTCCAGACGGATTACTCTTTTCCAAAACTGGTACGGCCATGGTCGTGCCAGTCAGGATAAGATGGACTAGCACCTTGGATAATATGTACACTTTCCTGCTACGTATGGCACGGGGTTCATCTTCTAAGACTCAGTAAGAGTCCTACAGTATGTGCAATGGCGTGCACGTTTTTTGTTGTACAACATACATGTACATCATGTATTATTGATCTACAAAAGTGACGGTTGTACATGTACTGTATGTACATACAGGCATGAGCATGTACTGTATGTACATACACATAAACAATCATGTACATGTTAGGGGTGAAACGGTTCCATGTTTTTCATGTTCGGGTACCCGAATGCCAGCATTGTTTCCCACGGTTCGGGTATCGGTTCCATGCACTCTTTTCTCCAGACCGACAAAATGCGTTCGCGACATTTATTTTTTAGAAAAAACATTTTTACGAGCAAGAATGAGACATCTGAGAGTCCAAGTGCGAAGAAGATAATGACCAGAGAACTCTTTGGAAGAGTGGGGATCGTAAGGTAAGACATTTTAAATCTTGAGTAGACTTGACGTGTCCATGTATTTGTACGAAAACGAGATTTTTCGAGTTTCGGTTCGAAATTTGACGGAACGGGTACCCGATTCTTTTCAGCTGGCGGTTGGTTCCTTACCCGAACCCTTTCACCCCTAGTACATGTACATGTATGTACCTGACACCTTGCAGTGTCATCATTATTATCCTCTACATGCATGCGGTAAAGAATGCACAGACGATAGGGTATTAAAGTCAGCATGGTCAGTTGGTCACTGACATGAGATGAGGTCAACCAGTGCTCACATAACACCCAGGTACAGGCGTTAACGTTGTGCTACAGTAGTAAGTCTATCCATTCATGCAGGGAGTAGGAAAGGGGCAGGGAAGGGGAAACCTGAGCTCTGCTGGTGTGAGGGGTGTGGGCCACCTAGCTTATGACTTCCAACTAAGGACTTTGATACATTGTACAAAGTCATGTACATGTAGCTACTAGTACATGTACATGTACATTGTACTGTATTTTAATACAAATTTAAAAAATTCAACGTACATGCGCAAATAGTCATGTAAACAACACAAAATTGTGTTGATGCCATCTTCAGAATCTACCACTAACAACACAAAGTAAGTTGAACTAACTTTACAAAGAAAAAAGACTGCATTCAGCCGAGTAAAAAAAACCCGGACGGACGCAGTGAAAGGTGAAGAGTTGTGTCAAAGATCGCTCCCTAGCGCTCACTTCCTACTTTTCATTTTACATGCGAAAGTTTTCCTACAGATCGATTACGTACTGGTACTAGTCACGGTACTTAGATTAGAAGGTGGCATGAGCATTCGGATTATTGACACGCACGGCGTGAGGAAGATTGAGTCGTGTCAAGCAAGAGAGAGAGAGAGAGAGAGCGAAGAATCACTTCAGATCACTGATTTTCAGGTACATGTATTATAATAATTATATTATGCAATACTTATCATGTGACATGAACTACACTAGAGAATGCTTACTTCGTATTCGCTTTGATTCGTCCGGGAGGCATCGCCGTTCGTCTCCTGCTGAGATTTGCTGAACTGTCATGTAGTCAACGCGCTCCTTGACCCTGGTGGAGGCTGGCCCGATCTTGGAGTAGCCCACGTCGCCCGCGGACTTAGTACTACTACTAGTGTCCGTCTCGACCACGGCAAATGCAATGTTGTGCGGCAGTGCAGGGCCATGGGGTGCACAGTCTCCCGACGAATAGGTGTGACTGTGAGATCGCTGATGCGCGTGCGGCAAACGCTGGGCTTTATCCAGCGTGGCTGGAAGGCTGGTTCTACACGTTGCCCAGTTTCGAGGTGGCAAGTCTGGCATCACATCGGATGAGTAGCCCCGCGTTTGTGGGCCACACCACGGATCTTTCTCCATCGTTCCTTTTCACAGACTTAGTCCTTTGCTTTTGTCCGCTGCAAAGACAATCGAGGAGCTACAAGCAGTGGAACTAAAGAAAACTGCAATGCTGCTGATTTGAAGACGTCTGGTTCTTGCCAGCTGACTGTTGTCTTGTCACGGACCGGTGCCAAAAATCTTCCAGCACAATGTACGATGTTGGTCTAGCCAAGCAGAGGGGCATGTACTCGTACTCGTAGTCGCACTGACGAGCGCGACGGCCCGCGCGCGGATTGACTTTTGTACATCAACACGTCAACACAGGCACGCAGCAGCAACATAATCATTACAACGATCATACAGTATCATTAGCAAGGCATTGATGAGTGACGGGCTGCTGTGTTAGATTTTAGTAGGAAGAGCTGGCGTGGTGTGTGCGAGTGTCAGGATTGATTTGCGTCAGTAGATTTGCCGGGTATTTCCTGTTACAGTGTACTGGTGCCTGCATCTGACCGATCCCCAAGATCCGCGAAGTGCTCGCACCAACGCCGGCCTGACTCACGAATCACGATCCCTACTGTTCTCCCTTTCGGGATGGCTTCGAATGCACAGGACCAGGGGGCCGGGGTGGACCTGGACCCTACAACGGAACTACAGTGTCAGTACGACAGTAGTGATTTTTTTCTGCGGGGCACGTGACGGACGTACACGTGCACGGTCACAGCTAGCTGGGTCGTTGTGGGGAAGCAGATTCCTTGGGCAACTCGGCTCGGCGCTCTTCTCGACGTTTTGTACGGCTCAGGCATTTGACAGTTCACTTCACCCCCACACATCCCCATCGTGTCAATGTGCATAATTGCCCAACGCTGTGTAGCAGTAAGATAGATGCTGATCTATCCGACTTCCGAGTATGCATTCCGTGGTATCGCCCTGATACGATCATACGTGACATGCATGTCGTTTCTATTCCTGATCGGATCCGTAAACAAAGTCATGGTTGTCTTGAGTTGTCCGCCGCGCGCGCCGCTGCAATGACCATGCAAGCAAGTACATCATGCACATGTAAAATAGTAACTGTAAAGTGAGTCTGCAGCTGATCTGGTGCCAGTGGCAGTGGTGGCAAGTCTGCCGCCTGGGTCCTTTGCAAGTCTGGCACTCTCCCTAACCAGCGATAACCAATGGTGGTGGCATGGCTTGGTTATCTTCATGATCCAGTAGGTTACGTCGGGACTCGGGACTGACAGTCTGTAGATCTACCCAGTTCAGTGTGCAGGATCTAGGACATGAGACGTTGACCACTACTACTAGTACGAGCACTAGTGCGGCACAGTCTTGTACTTGCACTAGCACTGTTGACCATAGGGTAACGTCATTAGCGACAGGGAGAAGAAATGATCGTCCCGGGGAAAGTCCCTACTGGAAACCTGTCGTTCGTCGTGCCTACACACTGCTACAGCAGGCTACACCGAACAATGCCGTCAATGGCCCGAGCCTGCCCTGAGCAGGAGGCTCCGTCTCACTCGTTCAGTCGTTGACCTCATCAAAGCCATGCGAGTTGAACGCCTTTTTAGTAGGGCTCAAACGGTTAGTCCGATTAACCGGTTGCAGACCGGTTACGAAGAATTAACGGTTAACCGATAAAGATAACGGTTACGCAGTAACTTTTCAGTCAATTTTTAAAGTATCAGGTCGTTGCAAAGTATGCACTTTCGCAGGCTGTCGCACGCGTAGTCGCGTACCCAATATTATTTCTGGGCTGTCAACTCGGTCATATCTGGTCTCTTGGTGTGAGAGTATGTATGAATGAGCATGCAAGAGAATATACATGTACATGTGTGCGTTGTACTGAATAGGGTACATTTTTTGAATAAGTATAGTCAAATATACGGTTAAAAAAGAGTCCGCAGGATTGCCGTGGCTTATAGGTTATAACCGTTAAAGGGGAAGTATACCCTAAAATCAAATTTTCACCAGTTGTAGTCTTCGGGGTGCTGAGTCGAATGGTCTTGGTCCGAGGAAGCTGCGACGCTCCCTTCCTACTTGAATCCCAATCGAACTCGCGCACTTCCACCGAAACTGGGTGACTGCGCCCTACTAGATGGGGATTTGTATGCAAAATGTCACTAAAAGCGCCATTTCGTTCTTATAAAAGCACGGATGACCGCGATTGGCCCATATGTTGTAGTCTTTTGGACGCTGAGTCGACTGGTTTTGGTCCGAAAAGGCTGCGATGCAGCGTTCCTCCTTTATTCCCAATCGAACATGGTTGAACAAGCGGTCACGTGCTCCTGGGTGCCCAAATCACCTGGTCACCGCGCCAGCAGGCGACAACTTTCACACCAAGGTTCAACTCGAGTTCAACTCGAGTGACAGGACTGCACCCAAAAAAGGTCAAACAGGCTAGTAAGTTGTACCCTGCAGGCACGGTGACCAGGTGACTGGTGTACGCAGGAGCACGTGACCGCTTGTTCAACCATGTTCGATTGGGAATAAAGGAGGAACGCTGCATCGCAGCCTTTTCGGACCAAAACTAGTCGACTCAGCGTCCAAAAGACTACAACATATGGGCCAATCGCGGTCATCCGTGCTTTTATAAGAACGAAATGGCGCTTTTAGTGGCATTTTGCATACAAATCCCCATCTAGTAGGGCGCAGTCACCCAGTTTCGGTGGAAGTGCGCGAGTTCGATTGGGATTCAAGTAGGAAAGGAGCGTCGCAGCTTCCTCGGACCAAGACCATTCGACTCAGCACCCCGAAGACTACAACTGATGAAAATTTGATTTTAGGGTATACTTCCCCTTTAAACCGACCGTTAGCTTAGCAGTTAACCGTTGGGGGTAAAACCGTGACCGTTTGAGCCCTACTTTTTAGGCTTTACCGGCACCAGCCTACCTCAACCTAAGCTACTTACCTGTAGGCTAAAGAAAGCCATAGCTGCACAGGTTCAGTCACTGAGTCAGTGCATACTACAAACATAATCAATTTGATTGAATGTAGCCTGAGGCTGATGTCTCTTTTCCAGACTGCAAATTCAAAGACAGCAAAACCAGTCGACACCATGCACCAGTGCGTGAGACAAGGTCAAACCCAGCCAGTGTAGTGACCTCGTCGTCACTACATCAGTCATGAGTCATGACTCATGTAGTGACCTCGTCACTGCATCAGTCATGACTCATGATCCAATAGGATCAATACGCCAACCACAATGTACATGTACGTAGATTGGATAGCAGTAAGCCTTATGTTGCCTGATGATCGCAGTAATACGTGAAACTCAGAGTTGTGACAAAGCTTCCAATCTCTCTTGTGCGCACAGGTTCCGGTTACGTGAAACCTGCTTCATACATGTACATTCATGTCTTTCCACAGGAGCCTGGAGACAGTTGAGTCTTTCAGGATGGCAGTAGACCTCTACGAAGGTACATGTATGACTGTCCTGTACATGTACATGTAGGTGCTAGTACGTTGGTGGGTGGTGAGGATCTCCCCTTGATTCCGTGAATGCAGCGTGGCCTACCGGTGAGTGGCAGCTGGCTGACCAGTGAGTAGATCTACGAAATGTGTAGATCTATAGACTACATTGTATACTGGCTTAGCTCTTGTTATGCTACATTTGGCAAGTAAAATGTGTTGCCCACATGGAAAGAGCCGGAAGGGCTCAGAGAGTCACAGCATAATCACTCCATAGACAACATTTCAAACGGTGACATGTTATTCGTAGAACCTCAACAGTCAACACCCTCCCTACAAATGTATTGTACACCAACTCGCCTAACCCTGGTCCTACGCTAGCTTGTGCCAGACAGCGATGCTGCTGGATAAACTACCAACTTCCTATTCAGACTCAAGTCAGGCTTGGGTCCAGAGCAGGGAGTCGTACTCAAACTTTACGACTCCCTGGTCCAGAGTATGGAAATGACGGCGTATCGTAGCGTTTAGTCATTTTGACGTCGTCTTTATCGACCTGTGTATGAACCATGCGGAGATTAGTACATGTACAATGTACATGTA